GTCTTCTTCGATGTCAGACAGACCATTCTGTGTTCCATAGATAGACGGATGCTGGATATGCTCCATTGGTGGTCTATGTAGATGATATTGTGATTACTGAAAATGATTCTGATGGGATTGTCAAGTTAAAAATCTTCTTGCAGGATCGATTTCATACTACGGATTTGGGAAAACTCAGATATTTCTTAGGAATTGAAGTGACTCGATCTAAATAGGGTATTTGTTTATCACAGAGGAAATATGTACTTGATATGCAAGAGGAAGAAGGTTTGTTGGGAGGTAGACCGATTGATGTGCCTATAAATCCGAATCAAAAACTATTGATGAATGATGGTGCACTGTTTGAGAATCCGGGTCGGTATCTCAAATTGGTTGGGAAGCTTAATTATCTCACTATTATTCGATCGAATATTTCTTATGCAGTCAGTATAGTAAGTCAGTTTATGGGGTGTCCTAGAGTACCTCATTGGGAAGCAGTCACTCGTATTCTACGGTATCTTAAACGAGCTCCTAGACTTGGACTGTTATATCGAGCTAATGGACATCTTAGAGTGAAAGGTTTCTCAGATGCTAATTAGGCTGGCTCTCCTTCTGATTGGAGATTAACCACTGGTTATTGTACTTTCTTAGGAGGTAACGTTGTCTCATAGAAAAGTAAGAAACAATCTGTGGTAGCAACATCCAGTGCTGAGGCTGAATATAGGGCAATGGCGTATACGACGAGTGACTTGACGTAGCTGCTACACTTTCTTCAGGAAATTGGGTTTCCAGTTCAACCTCCTTTACAGTTGTTTTGTGACAACCAGGCAGCTATACGTATCGCTGTCAATCCAATGTTTCACGAGAGAACCAAATATATTGAGGTTGATTGTCACTTTATTCGGGACAATATAGTACCTGGGGAGATTACGACTCAATTTGTGAAATCTAAAGATCAACTTACAAATATATTTACCATAGCATTGAGTCGTACACGTCTTACAGAGATTTGTTCCAAGTTTGGATTATATGATATATATAGTCCATCTTGAGAGGGAGTGTTAGAGTATTAGGGTAGTATATATAAATTATTAATAGTGTTAAGGTGTTATGTGTAAATACAAGAGGGTGTGTATGGGTAATTTTTATGATTATGAGTTACCTATAAATACAAGTGATGTATGAAAGCTAGGTTAAGTTTTTAACCTCTCTCTGTTTCTCCCAAAATATTGTCTCTAATAGTATTATGTTAATCTTTCAAACTTAACAACTAGTAATTCTTCCTTATTTGCTTCTATTGTTTTTCCTCCCTCTATATCTGTCCTTGCAGCCAATGGCACCCAAATGTCTTTGGCTGGTGTTAAAACAATAATGTCATTCCAGCTTACATTTCCTGATGTTTACTATATTCCTTAACTTACTTTAAATTTAATCTCAGTTAGTCAGTTGTTTGATTCGGAATTTTTAATTCACTTTTCTTCTATTGGTTGTATTGTCCTAGATCTACTGTCCAAGAAGCTGATTGGGATAGGCCATAGAAATAGAGGGCTACATGTATTAGACAAGCTTCATGTCCCAAAAGTTAATGCATCCACTATTGATTTATCTTCTTTTCAATTGAGTTCAAAATCGTCTAATTTTTATTTATGGCATTCTCGTTTAAATTTTTTACCTTATACTGGTAGTTTGGGTAGTTTAGAATGTCATGATATTTCAAATTGTAGTGGCTACAAGTTTGCTAAATTTACTGCATTACCTTTCAATAAAAGTAATTCTAGTTCTCTTGCACCTTTTGATCTTGTACATTCTAATATTTGAGGACCAACTCCTATTGCTACTAAAGGGGGTCTACATATTATGTCTCTTTTATTGATGATCATACCAGATACTGTTGGGTCTATCTGATGATATATAGGTCTGAGTTCTTTTCATCACCTTCTGTGCTATGGTGCATATTCAATATTCTTCTATCATCAAATGTTTTTGCTATGATCAAGGTGGAGAATATTCCTTTAGTTCTTTTTGTGATTTGTTAAAATCTAATAGTACTATTTATCGGTCTTCTAATACAGACACACCTACCCAAAATAGAGTGGTTGAACAGAATCATTCTCTGTTATTGTCATCCAGTGTTCCTAGCTCCTTTTGGGGCAAAACAGTCCTTATAACAATTCACCTGATTAATTGCATTCTCATAATCCTTAATTCTGGTGTCTCACCTTTTAAAAAATTATGTGGTAAGACACCTGACTATTTCTCTTTACGTGTGTTTGGATGTACATGTTTTGTTCTACTACCTTGTGTTAATCGTACCAAACTCTAGGCTCGCTCAGTCTTATGTGTTTTTCTTGAATACGGTGAGGGACAAAAGAAATTTCAGTGTTATGATCCTAGTACACAAAAACTCTATATTTCTCTTCATGTTGTCTTTATAGAGCATATTCTTTTTTTTCTCTTCCATCTGGTTCCTTATCTCTATATAAATCTGATCTCCTCGATATTGATCCCTTTCTATTTGATGTTTTCCCTGATACATATGTTGCTAATATGACTGTGTCTGATTTGCCCTCCTTCTCTTCTTCTTCTTGCCTCATGTGTCTGATACTTGCCCCCTATTATGCATACTTATGTTTGTAGGACTCCTATTGTCAATTCCACAGATGTTGTACCTTCATCCGCATCTCCTATCTTCTAATCAGATTCTGACACCGTAGATCACACTCCTCGCTACTCTCAACGCCCTCGAAAGTGTCTTGATAGGCATAGTTTTTCTAACTCTTGTTAGTTTTCTGATTTTTGTTCGTTCCTAACCTCGATACTCTCTATCTGAACCAACCTCCTATAAGGAGGCTGCCCTTGATCCTCTTTGGCAACAGACTATGGATAAGGAGTTTTCTACTTTACATAAGCCTCAAGCTTAGAAGTTAGTCTCTTTACCTCCTGGTAAACACACAATTGGTTGTAAGTGGGTTTACAAAATCAAAACTCAATTTGATGATTCTGTGGAAAGGTACAAAACTAGATTAGTGGCCAAGGGATTTGCTCAAGAGTATGAACTTGACTACAATGAGACTTTTACTCTAGTTGCTAAGATGACTACGATTCGCACAGTCATAGCTGTGGCAACTATTCGTCAGTGGAGTTTCACTCAAATGGATGTGAAAAATACTTTTCTTTATGGTGATTTATTTGAAGAGGTTTATATGATTCCTCCTCCTGGGTTGTCTCATGGTCCTGGTCAAGTCTGCAAACTTCACAAGGCTTTATATGGCCTTAAACAGGCTTCGAGGGCATGGTTTGCCAAATTTTCCTCAGTCATATGTGATTTAGGCTTCTATGCTAGTGATCATGATTCTGCTCTCTTCCTATGATCCACGTCTTCAGACTTCATTCTTTTATTACTTTATGTGGATGATATGATTATTACTAGTGATGACAATCCTAGAATTCGGTTGTTAAAAACTCAGTCACAAGATTATTTTGAGATGAAATATTTAGGTCCACTTCGATATTTCTTAGGGATTGAGGTTGTTTTCTCTCCCAAGAGTAGTCTTCTTTCTCAATCAATGTATGCCTAAGATGCTATTCAACAAGCTTCCTTATCAAATCATCGAATAGCTGACACCCCCTTAGAGCTCAACATTCATTATACTTCCTCTGGTGATTCTCTTCTCCCTGATCCTACCTTATATCATACTATTGTTGGAAGTTTGGTATATCTTATTGCTACTAGTCCAGATATCGACTTTGTTGCTCATGTGGTTAGTCAATTTGTTATGGCTCCTACCACTCTTCACTGGTTTGCCATTCTTCAGATTCTTCGGTATGTGTGGGGTACATTGCATCAGAGTTTATTGTTTTCGTCCTCCTCGTCTTTGGAACTTCGTGCTTTCTCTGATACAGACTGGGGTGGTGACTTTATGGATCTCAAGTCCACCACTGGTTTTGTCTCTTTCTTAGTGATTCTCTTATTTCATGGAAAAGCAAAAAACAAACTATTGTTGCTTGATCTTCTACTGAAGCTGAATATCGTGCTATGGCATCCACCACAGTGGAGATAGTTTGGTTGCATTGGCTGCTAATAATCTTGGTATTTCCTTGTCTACTTTTACTATTATGTATTGTGATAACACCAGTACTATCTAATTGCTCACAACTCGGTGTTTTATGAGCACACCAAACATTTTGAGATTGATTATCACTTTGTGTGTCACATCTTCAGTTGGGCACGATCTCTCTCCCCTTCCTTCTTTCTACTATGTAGGTGACAGATTTTTTCACAAAATCTCACACTATCGTGCTCTTTCGTTTTCTTCTTGACAAACTCTTGATGTTTGATACAATCACATTATGAGTTTGAAGGAAAATAATAGAGTAATCTAATATATTAGCAGTAGGAGTAGATTAGTCATTTATGTCACTATGTTTTGCCCTAATATATAAGACTCTTATTGTGTAGTTTTCCAGTTTAATGTTTCTGTAATACAGACTTGATTATTCTTAATGAATATCTCTTTCTCTTCTTCCCTCTATCTTTGATAAATATTAACAACCTAAACAATACACCAACGCAAAATTTTGATCCTTGCCAGCATCTTCATTATACAGACAAGCATAAAGTTTTATTCTACAGTAGCCTGAGTAATCCTAAGATATTTACTTAATATGTTGAGACATAAAACACTCTGATTTGACTTACAAGCCCTAAGATGGTGATACCAATAAAAAGTCACCTCCTATCTCAAACGTGACGTGATATTAGGGTCATTTTAAGATATAACTTGATGTAGAATGAGAATTGCAATGGCCAAACATTGCACATAGACCAGAAAGTTGGCAGTGTAGCCACAATGTGTTCTCTCCCTTAAACCACAAAACAAAATCAAGAATCTAATGATGCACTGGCACAACATCCATAGGAAAATGTAATGAGTCCTACTGCAATGAAATGCAACCTTTGAAGCTAAGGAAATAGAAAGAATCGATTGAGCTCCTATGCTTACTAAAGACTGCATTAACTTTTATCCAAAATTAAAATACTTCAAAGCCCATAAACAGATGATTAGAGTTGAATGACTTACAATTCCAATACACTGACCTAACCATGGACAGTGATGATCGAACCTCTCCACACAGTTGTTGCAAATTGAGCAATGAGAAGCACGTGGCGGACGATATAGACAACAAGTATCGCAATACTTCACTTTAACCATGTGGCCATTTACAAACACATCCTTTGTTCTTGGTAATTTCAAATCACGAGTTGCACTATAGATCCACTCAGTGGATGCTGTAGGGAATGTTTCATCTAATTCAGGTGGCAGTGAATTTCTCGGCACTATTCCAGGATTTCTTCCAGATGTCAAGAAGAGAAAAGTTAAGGCCTGCATCATTATCACCAGGTCAAATTTGATCATCGTTTGCAAGACCCAAGTCCCAAAATCACCAAGAGATATTTCAGTTTACTTACCAAAACTGTGAGGACAATTCCTAAAATCAGTGCAGGATACCCATATATGGGATCAGTTTTTGGAATCCTCAAAAGCATTTTAATGCAGAATATTATTGCTGGGGATCCTATCAGGAATATGGATAAAAGTAGTGATGCCGCATCAGGACCAAAGATCAATCTCCCACCACACAAAAAATTCTATCAGACAGAAATAAGAATCATCAGTGCTGGTCTAGGAAAATATATGCAATTGCGGTTTCTTTCCCCACCATTTTCACAATTCCCATACATTAACGGTGGACTCACTTTTAGTAATGTGGGGGACAAATACTATGCTTGCCCAACAAATTTTCCAGCACCCTATTAGTCATATGATATTAACCACAAGTGCAACAAAGCTGTAAAGATTGGTTGCACTATAAATAAAGAGATAAATTATCCTTGTCATGCAACAACTGTATTCCACATTTTAAAAGAAAAGCAAGCAACCGCTAAAAAGTCCATTAGCACATCAATCTATTTACCACCTGATCAAACCGAAAAGTCAACAATTAGCTTCGTGTAGCAATTATAAAACATCAAATGTTGAGAAGCAGAAAAGTATGTGTAATAACCACTCAGGGTATATTATTCACCACCGAAATGTTCTATTTTTGAAACAAAGACAACAATTGATTTCTAATGAAGCAGTCAACTCCATAACGATTAGAGAGCACTTTTCTATATCGCATGCTCATTGTAGATAAAGAAAAAGAATTAAACAGGTACAAGAAATGCCAATTCTGATTTTGACCAGCAAAGAAATGTAATGTTAATTTATTATTCATTGGGAATTAAAAAAGCTTTTGCTGTTTATTGACATTATGTTCTTATCTAGAGAACAAGTATGAAAGCAACCACCATTGTTCTGTATTCCTAGAATAAATGAAGTAAAAGGTACGGATTATGTTCAAACTAAACATAATAAACCTTGAAAGATACATAGCCTATGGGTGATGGTTGAGCTTCTTTCTTTGGCCATTTAAGTTTCACAAGGAGGCTAGACAATGATATACTTAAGGCACCTGACACTAATAACTCGAGTGCTGCTGCTGCTATGCGAAGCTGGCTGCAAAGCCCTTACTAGACAGGCATAGTGGCTTATCGTAGTAAATCTGTAACTTGTCATAAGACAATTTATAGAGGCTAACACTTGCCCAGTACTATAAGTTCAAGGAAGGTGGTGACCTAATGACAGAGAGCCAAACACCGAAGGCCCGGTGACTGGCGGCCCTAACTATAACAATCCTAAGATAGCGAAATTCCATGTCGGGTAGTTTCAACCCACATGAAAGGCATAAAACTTGGGCACTATTTCAGAGAGAGGCTTTGTAAAATAAATATGTCTGTGAAGATGCGGACTATCTGCAGGGGATAGAAATATCACATGGAGCTTCATCTTCCCTAGGATTGACTTTAGGACTCTCCTGCGCAACTTAGGTCGAAGATGAAAAAGGCCTACTTTTGAGGCCCGGGCCATCAATGAGATATTACTCTGAAAGGGCTAGAATTCAAACCTTGTGTAACGACCTACAAGCCAAAAGACAATCTCACATAGACAATTTCTATGGGGTAGGCCTCCTATATGACAACGTATGCATACAAAGGTTTTCTCAAGCCAAAAGGAGATAGGTTATTGAGTGCGAAGGCAAAAAAGGAGATTGACTACTAGAACCACACGTCAATCAAGGATGAAAGTCAATCTTAGTGATCCGATGGAGCTGAGTGAAAGGGTCGTCGCTTAACGGTTTAAGATAGTCTAGGAACAACAGGCTGATCTCCCCTAAGAGTCCACATCAATGAAATTTTTTAGCACCTTGACATCAGCTCTTTGCCAACTAGGACTTTACTATGTTCGAGGGATTGGGTGGCTCTCTCATTCAAGTAGTGCGTGAGCTAAATTCAGACCATTGTGAGCGAGTTCGATCAATATCTAATGGAAGAGTTAGAACAATGAGACCACCTTTTCGTATTACAAGATGATCAGGAACGACACATCTTTAGTGTGCCAATTATTGTACCCACAGTAAGGACTGGTTAGCCAAGTGCAGAGCAAATAGCTCCTAAAAGCCTCTAAGGGGGTGAAACGACAAATTTTTTGAGAATTCAAGAGAAGGTCATGGGATGACGATATGTTTATAAGTACGATTGGTTTCAAGTGGAAGTGTCGTAATCATGCAGCTAAGGAAGATTAATAAATTGGCTGACTTGAATCTTGTTTCAAGTTGGTGTAATCAATTTGATCAACCAATCACCATTTGTTTCAATTGTTCCACTCTTCAACAACACGAAATACTCTATTATATCACTCTTTGACAACGTGAAAAAATAGAAGCTCTACGCTCCCTCTGTATCTATCTATCCATTCATAAGTTTAGAGACTTGAGAACCGAACAAATTTAGGAAGACTCAACTGTCTTCCGAGACGAGATGCAACCTAAATAATTTGTAATGTGCTAGATAGTATTTCAGTCCCTTTATGCTTATGCAAAATCGTCAGCAGTTCTATGAATTTCTTTTTCTAAGAGGTAAATTGCAAACAACCATAATTAGAAGGGAAAATAAAAAAAAAAAATTGAAACCCAAACCACACTTTTTTTTCGCACCAAAAGATATACAGCAATGGTTCTAATCCTAACCCCTTGAAGCCAATAAAAACAATCCAAACTTAAAAAGATGCACTCATATACTAATAATGAATAGTTTTCCAGATTAAATCTAGCTAAATATTGCTCTTATAATCACAGGGATATATTTTATAGGACTACACTTCAAACTAGCGCACGTCTTCTTTATTTGTAATTGCAAAAGTAAACAAGCATGCATTCTCTTTACACAGCTGCAACATCCATACCACAAACTCCCTTATGGATTTACCCAGCTTCAACATCTATACCACAAACTCCCTTGTGGTTTGGCCTCGAAATGCTCTCAAAATAAACTGTTGAGAAGAAAAATAGCCGACGTTATATTTACGGGTAAACTTGCATGATTATGATGAATTCATCATATATGCCAACCCCAGAGGGAACCTAACTAATAGTACTTTCTATAGCTCAAGCACCATGAAGTCCACCCAAAGAACTAACATACCTTGTGAAATTCTTAAACTATGTACTCAAAACCCCTTAAAATGATGTGCTAATCATAGTCAGGGAATTGAATTACTTCAATTGCAAAAGACATGTCTTTCTTCTTTTATCGTTTCAACTATCAACTATATAGTGGAGTATATGTGGTTATGTAATAGGCTTTTATTTTAGTTTTGACAAACGAGAATGTCTTATGAGGATTGTAGTGTATTTTATTGGTTACTCAAGAAAAAAATTATTGGCAACAGGCAGCAGAACTACTCAACTTCCATTCCATCATGAGGCACCTTTCCTACAAATACCATATAACAAACCATTTCATGTTGAATTAAGTGAAAAAAATTAAATTCTAAATTTCCCTATTTGATAAGAATAAATAGGGATGTTTATACATTCTAGATTCAAGATTTCCTTGCACCAAATAATTACAATAAAATATCTTAAAGAAATGCTTACAATTGCACCAATAACGTAAGTGATATAATTTGTCATATAAGTAGTAACTTCATGATATAAGAAATTTATCTAAATTTAAACACAAGCTAAACTCCGTCAAAAAGGGTTTTTTTTTTGGTGGAGGGATTAAAGAAGTAAAATCAAGAAAAAAACGAGGAGCTTACATTGCGACCCTTCCAAACTTGATAGAGCCTCCTAGATTTGGGAAGGTCTGTGCCTTTGGAACAAGGAGCCAATTGTTGGGTTTTGATCCCACTCATGATGCCTAGTTTGCGCTTTGCTATTTCAAATGCAAAACCAAACCCATGAAAAATGTAGGAGATGATATCAAAATGTCATTAAAGGGAGCGCTGGTAAGGGCGTTTGAAGAATGGAGAAGAAGATCTCTCTCTCCTCCCTTGCCTTTTTCATCAATACCAGCTGCCCTTGCTCTCAATCCTCTGATCACCAAGCATGTCGTTTTGACCAGTTTCTCTGTAACGGACGGTTGGCTTTGAATATTTCTCAAATTCAAGCGTTTTTTTCGCGGTAAATAACGGAAGTTTACAAAATGCTCATTCGGATGCGGATGCTCTAAATTCTATTTTGATCAACTTCAAATTTCATACAGTGGCTATCGAATGTGGTTGCATTCGTTCTTGTCAACTGCACCGGTTGGTTGCAATGTTCAAGGGATGGATTACGGAATAATAAAAGTTATATATAATATCATCACTCAAGATATTATAATTTAATTGAAGCGTAATAAATTATAAATTTATTATTTTATTTATTAAATAAATAATTAAATTAAATTAATAATTTTCTGTCAATATAATTAATATCCTCTTATCCCACTCTTAATCTAATATCTTACAAAATACTCAATTACAATGACTAACATGTTTATCTCATATTTAATCTTCTATTTTATCTGCTTATTCAGAACTAACATGTATTATATAATAAAGTTAATTGCGACGAATGTCTCTAAAATATGCGTTATGTTTCTTTTCGCTTTTTAATGTTACAATTGCATCACATTAGTCGTTGATGTATCCAATTTATTTGTAAGTAGTTCCAACGCATGACGCCGTCCAAATTTTTAATGGCTTTTATGTCCATTTGCTTCCCAATGGAGGAAATATTGGACAATTAAATTTTTAATTATCCCAAAAATTACGACGGTGGTCTCTAAAATATGTATTTTATTTCATTTTGATTTCTAACATTATAATTATATCACATTAGTTTTTCATATATTTAATTTGTATTTTAGTGATTCTCACTCACGTATGACATCATCTAAATTTTAAATGGTTTCTACTCATGTCCTTCCCACATGCTCTCAAATGAATAGCACGTTGTACAAATCACTACTTTACAAAAAAAAAAAAAAAAGTGTAGTTGCCGAAGAAAAATATTCCCGCCCAGGCCGGTTGTCTTGGATTTATATTGTTCTCTTTTATCATATGTAGATGACGAGTTATGAGAAGGGGGCATTATTCCCTCCTGGTAGTACAAGAAGGA